TGCTATGTGTGCTTCTCTGGCTACCAAACGGATTGACTCCATCGGTGCTCGCGCCCAACACGATGTTCCTTGGATCCTTCCCAAATTCTGGGTGTTCGAAGTTCAACGATTGCCACTGGCTCGCATCCTTTGGGTGACTCAGCATCTTGTCTTTTTTATTTATCTCCGGATCATTTGCGTCATCTTCTCGCTTCTTCTCCTCCATATCCGCGTGCCAACGCAGGAGCTTTGCTACCTTAGGGTCCGCGAAATACCGCTGCAGACGAGGAGTGATCGGAATGTACCACACCACTTTTCGAGGAGCTTTCTTCCTCTTCTTGTATCGAGTGACGCCGCACACCGGACATATGGTAGACTCCGCGTGCTCGTCCGGATAAATGATGCAATTGTTCATGCACACATGGTATTTCACGTGCGGTAAATCCAGAGGACACACGATTTTTTTCGCCTCCTCGAAACTGGTCGGGCACTTGTCCCCCTTGGAAGACGTTCGTGCCAGAATGACATGTTCTCGTCGAAACATGCGTCGGTCATTTTGTGTTTTACCTTCATCTCCAGAGCCATGAGCGTTACTTTCAGGCGGGTATCCTCGGGCCTGCATCCTTCATACAATGGAGTAACCGCGTCTATCTCCAGTTGATCCAGCTTGGCTTTCTCTCGGGCGGCAGCTCTTACGTTATCCGTCTGCTTGAGAAGCAGCTCTTGAATATGAGGGTCTTGCACCCAGCCCATTGATGGTCCATCATTGTCTGCTCCGTCGGCATCTTCATCTTCATGATCATGCCCTTCTTCTGCTCCGGCATCTTCCTCATCATCATGTCCGGCATCTTCTACATGATGACTGTGTACAGCATCACCGTCGTGATCATGTCCTGGAGATTCTTCGTCTTCTCGCCCGCCCGAGCCGTGGTGGTTGTCTTGCTGCCCTTCCTCATTTCTTGACCGGCCCCCATGGACGACTTCATATTCATCTTCATCACCTTGCCACCGATAGCCATCCATGAAACCACGCAAGAGCAGGTGGTCCCGCACCTGCCCGGAATCCGGGTCCGCAATAAGGCTCTTCAGCTTGCATCTTCGACACGGACATCTTATCTCCGTCTCGTTCTTTTGAAGCATCTCGGCCTTCGCGGGGCTCAAAAACCTATTCACGATGCCTTCGGTCATCGTGCGGACCATGGTCGCCTGCGGGGTAGAGCAAAACGATATTTTAGAACCAAGAAAAAATTTGGCATGAATTTCCCTAAAAGTAGAACCAAAAAGAATGCATAGTGCCAAAATTCTCGCCGAAACAGAAATGAATCAACATTCCGGCAAAATATTGGCAACTACCGCATTTCAAATACCGGTACCTGCAAACACAAACATATATGCAACACCACAAACATATGCAACACCACGAACATACATAGATCTAGCTAGGCACAAAAAGTGCATGTGCACGTTCTTGGAGAGGGAGAACAACATAAAGATAGCTTCTTCCCTTACTTACCTATCAAAAAAAGGTAATTTAACCACTTAATTTGGATGAATCTATGGTGCAAATGAGGTGAGGAGGAGGAGACAGCCGAGACAAGCTTGGAGGAGGAGGTGGAGAGAATGAAGTGGGGAAAGTGAGTGGGTAGGTGGGCTGTCCAAAATATCTTATTGGTCCCAGGTTATTAATGACGCACCACATGCAAATGCGCCATTAGTAACCCTGGTTACTAATGGCGCACCTGCTGTTGCTACGCCATTAGAAGTTTTGCAAAAAAAATAAAAAAAAAGTATATATTCTAATGGCGCACCGTGGCACAGTGAACTAGTAATGACACACTGTGCCACGGTGAGCCATTAGTAATTTTGCAAAAAAAAAAAAACAGTAGTGGCGCACTATGTGGCCGGTGCGCCATTACTAGTTAGCACTAGTAATGGCGCACCGAGCCATGATGCGCCATTAGTATGTTTGGAAAAAATTTAAAAAAAATTGTTACTAGTGGCGCACCATGTGCCTGGTGCGCCATTAGTGTCTTCCACACTAATGGCGCACCAAAACATGGTGCGTCATTACTACATAGTAATGGCGCACCACATGACAGGTGCGTCATTAGTGTCCATCTCATCTATAGCCCTTTTCCTAGTAATGATACGCTCCATGTGCATGCCCCCAGCATGCATGTGACTTGGGCAGGACCTTGTCGACGTTCACTCGCAAGAGTCTCCTCGAAAAGCAATAATCAAAGGACGTACACGTATTTTAAGTTTCATCAATATAATAATTGAGACTAAGTACAACTCTCTCAAATGAAATAAAAAGTACAACTCTTTCAAATGAAGAGCAGATTTTTTTTTCCGAAAAGAGGGGACATCCCTCGGCCTCTGCAGTGATGCACACAATCTTTTATTTATCATATCAAAGTTTATCATCCGACCATAACAAACTTCAACCAATAAATTGTCGCACATGACTGCCCTAAGGGTAAATTAATTTAAGAAACGTAGAAAAATGACCCTCATGCATCACAAATCCTACTAGCAATCTGCCAACCAAATCGGTTGAACAAATTCCAGGAGACCATCTCCCATCGGTTGCACCCAAAGACCGTGAGCGCCCGATCCTCCTCCTTGCGAAGTAATGACCATACATGGATCCAGCTGGTAGCCTTGAAGATAACCTGCAAAAAGTTCGGAACTTTCGTTCTGTTAAAAATACAATCATTACGAGTGTTTCAAATGGCCCAAAGTATAGCATAAATTCCCACACGGATCTGAGACTTAAACTGGGGATGCACCCCCACTAACCAGTTTGCAAACATATTCGTCCTACTCATAGGTGGAGGTAGGTTGAAAGCTATATGGAGTGTTCTCCATAGCAGCTTGGCATGTGGGCATTGAAGGAATAGATGCTGAATCGACTTCTCATTGCCACAAAAACAACACTTAGTGCATCCTTTGCCAATCTCTTTTTTACAGATTATCCTTTATCAGGATAAGAATCCAATAAGATTGTCTAATTAGATTCCAGTGTTTGAAACTATGCAGTGTGAGTGGGAGAGGCCAAGGTAATTAACAAGACAAATCAGCGTGAGCACCGAGGCAGTCGACAAAAGCGCATAGCGTCCGAGGAATTAACGGGAAAAAAAGGAGGCAGGCACGACAGTAGAGGCACAACCAGTGCGATGCATGTGATGACAGTAGAGGCACCACTTGTTCATCTCCTTCCACTCTCCTCTCGCCACAACGCTACTAGACACACTCTACTTAGGATGAGGCCGCCGGAGATGTATGACCCTGGCGGTAGCTCGTCGTCCCGGCCGCACGGCAAGGAGGAGCTGCAGCCGGAGGTGGTTCTCTAGACGGCGTCAGCTTCAGAGCGTCACGCCGCAGAGCACGCACCTCCGCCGATGTGTACGCCTTGCGCGCCCTGCTGCGGGGCTACGACCTGACCATGGACGAGCGCGACGAGTCCAGGAGCAAAGCGCACCGCTGCGAGCTCAAGTCGTTACTCGCAGCTCGGGGCTGCCCCTTCTGCCTCCAGCAGCTCCTCGTCGGCGGCCCTGACAATGTTAGGCAGCTGCTCGGGGCTGCGCCTTGTCCTTTTTTATCCAACCCAAGGTGACACTTCCTTTCTCTCCTTCCTAATTCATTCGTTTTCCTCTACTACTATAGCTCCTATAAAAAAAAAACAAGACTGAACTTGCTTAGAGCCGTTTCCTTTCCTTTTCTTGATGCTGACATAACTCCATCGTGTTGCGCTATTATTATGTTAGCCTAAACACTGCTGCTGCTGTCATTTTCTTCAGATAGCAAAATAAACGGCCAGCACATGTCCCTGTACATGACTTAGTCGAGCTGATTTCTTATGTTAGTTAGTTAGCTGATGAATAGGTGCAGCCTTGATCTGGTCATGGGATGGCATGACACGGTGATCGCGGCAAGTGCGCACACCTAGCTCACATCGAGTGTTGTGGGATGGCACGACCGGTAGGCTCGACTTAGGCAGGAAATTTCCTGCCGTAGCGACCATACAAAAAACAGTGAAGAAAGTAGAAAAGCAGTAAGTTTTAAACTGCACAAAACCTTCCTCAGAATATGCCCTCTCACATTCCCATCCATATTATATTTCTCAATAAGCTTCTCAAAAAGTTTAAAATGGAGAATCTTTCTGAAAACAGCTTTTGAAATGTGAACATTTTTTGAATACATGAACATTTATTTTAGAAAACCAGAACATTTTTGTGAAAAGTTTGAACATATTTTTCAAAATGCGTCGGCCTGGCGACCTCTGTGTAAGGAATGTGGTCCTTAGTGGGCTGAAAGTGTAATGGCATCTGGGCCGTGGGCCAGTTCCAGCCATGTAGGAGTACACAGCTTGCAAGAAGCGTGCGTGTGGGGTAGGAGACGACTGACGACTGGCAAAGTCGTGGCGCGTGAGTTGTTGCGTCGGACCGGAGCGTTAATCATCCCCCTTCCCTTCCCTTCCCTGGCTTCCACTTGCTCTCTTCCAGAATTCCCCTTCCCTTCCCTTCGCTTCCCTCCCCTTGTGGCCTTGTGTATCAATCAATCAATCGGTAACACTCTTCAGGGCGTCGCAGCGTCGTCAGCTGATCGAGGTACACAAAATCGGTCTTGGGGATTCAACACGCTAGTGTTTAGGTTTTGGGGATTGGGAATTTTGCAAAATTCTTAGGATTAGGGTTTGCAGGGATCAATTAACCCCTCTTTTCCTTATCCATCTCCTCTGTTTGTCCAGGCCGACCGATCGATCCATCGATTCTACTCGTGCGGAGGAAGAGATGGACACTCTGTACAGCACCGTAAAGGAGTTCGTGGGGTTTGGGTTCAAGATCATCAGCGCGCTGGACAAGGCCAAACACAACATGGAGGAGTGCCGCAGGATCGACGCCCTCCTGCTCAGCCTCAGCGCCATCGCCAAGCACCTGCAGGGGTCGCCCAACATCATGGAGGACGACTTGATGAGGGTCACGACGGAGGGCCTAGACAAGGCCCTGCAGCTGGCGTCCAAGCTTGTCGCCAAGTGCAAGGGCAAGCGGTTCCTGGACCGTGCTTTTAACGCCAAAGACATCGCCGAGAAGCTGCATGGGGCCTGCTTCCATGTGCTGCTCAACATGAACGCCGTGCTGCTTGCCAATGGTGTCTTGAACACCTCGGAGCTGGCCGAGCTGAAGGAAATTGTGGCTCAGCTCCGCGCCGACGGTGCCTTGAACAACTTGCTGTTGGCCAAGATTCTGCAGATTCTTGCTGCTGCACGGCCCGATGTTGATCTGCCACAAGAGGTACCGTCGTTGCTTTACCTTGCCACAGCACATCTTTATGTATGTATGTATGTATGTATGTCACACTAGGCCTAGTGCCTCACTGATTATGCAGGATGACACCAAAATCTATTTGTTTTGCTGTTAAATAGCACAAAGAAGAGCTCTAGATAAATACCACATTGTTTTATGTAAGCTTATCAGTTGTAATACTGTATATGAATTTGTTTAGTTTTCTTTTCCTATTTCAGGTGGAAAAATTGGTGGAGGACTACCAGATCAGTTCTCAAACTAAAAACAAAAGGGAGACAAAGAAAACAGATGTACCTAGTTCTCAAAACAAAAACAAAGGGGAGGCAAAGAAAACAGATGTTGCCAGGTAAGGTACCTGCACAAGTACGCTCAATTAGCCTGCCATAGAGCTATCCAAATGTACATGTCCCTTTTATCTATCTTGGTGGATTAGTATGCGCAGTTACTTGGCGTGCTCTATGCATTATCCAAACATGCCTCTTTTATCTATTTTATTAATTTTGTTGGTTATAAATGTCGATGAGTTAACCTCCTATACCTTGTTGGTAAAGCATTTGATTTTGTAGCACGAAACTTGCAGGCAGGAAGGGAAGAATCAAAAGAAAAACAAGAAACAGGGGCGTAGCACGGTGGTGCCAGATGCTTCCTTACGAGATGGTAACGTCGCATCTTCCATGTTACTCTGACCATTACTTGCATCATGCTGTTTAATAAGAATGGATAAAATCAAACTTTAAAAGTGTCTTTTACTGTACCACTAGTACATACACATATGTGCCCTTACAGATATTACATGTGTAATCTAAACTGTGACATGCATTTATTGTTCTTCTGGCAGGCTTACCTGAGTCCGCTTCAGCGACCAGTGTGGTTGGACCTAGTACTATTAGTATCAAAAAGGTATTTCATATGCTTAAGTTTCATTTAAATCATTGTCATAGTTGGGCGACCCCATTTCATATAAAAGGATGCCTTGAGCTATAATAACTGATCTATACCAGTAATTAAGCTGAACTTCTATAACAGTAATTTCTTGTCAAGCAGAAAAGTTGTTTCTTTTTATGAGATGTTACATTCTGTCTTGATGTTCTTCATTTTTTCCTTCTTTTCTGTGATGTGGTGATCTTCATTTGTTATGTAGGCAAGTAGCTCTATCTCCAAGTCGGTGGACGAGGCACAGTCAGTGGGAGTTTCTGCAGCACCATTCCATCCGCAGAAAATAATCAGCATATCCGAGGAACCCGGAGAGACAGGCAGATATAAGGTATCTTTTGTTGCATCCAAACATGCATTCCAGAGAAATTGCAGCATACTGAAGTCAATAGTGAAATCTAAGTTGTTTGAAACAGCTAGAGGCTATGCCAATTGTTATACATGGCACGTCAAGGTACCATTTGTGAGTTGATTATTTGTGCCTGTTGCTTGCAGATAGACCCCCATTCCTCTGTGACTAGCAAGCTGCTCGAGGTCTACCCGCAGCAGCTTCTCTTCCCCTTGGAGCCAAAAGACAAGGAAACTACTCGATGCCCAGTGACCCTAACCAACAATACAGACCATTACGTTGGCATCTGGATTAAACCAATAAATGGGCAATTTAAAGAAACAGAGATAATGGAGGCCCGTTCGACTTTGGTTGTGTATGCGACAATGGAGATGCATGCACAACCTCCCAAAGACACGGTCAAGTTTGAGGTGCTCATGATTATCATGCGGTCGAAGCGAGACCACATAACATTGAAGTCATCCATTGTTGGCAAACTGAATATGGACATTCGCTTTATGGTGCATGTTAAGAACCTTAAGGCAGAGGTGTATCAGGCAATGCTGACAGCTATCACTTGTGACCCACCAAGCTGCGAGGTAATTATAATGTTGACATGCATGATTCAAGCTACACATGCCCATATGTATCCTATTAAGACTTGGGATATATATTCCATGTTCCTTCCAAAATCCCTGTGTTCCAATCAAAACAGCACTCTTCAACCGATGGGCCTTAGATAATTTTTTTAACATTTTGTAGAGATATTGGTCATTTAATTTCCTACAGTGGTTAATTCTCTTAACTATTTGCATTATATTAACTGGATTTGCCAGATCATATCAAGATCTATAAAGAAAATGACCTTGGTGACATCCATTGACGCGCACCCCACTAAGCCATGGTGAGTCATATTTATAGAATTATAGCCCATCTAGTGACGCAACTCTTATACTAGTTATCCCAAGATTTCATCTTATTAATTTGCACTATGCATCACAGGATTGTGACGGGTCATGAAGGAGGGAATTTTTCCATTTGGGACTACCAGACGAAGGTATCATTACTGCTACTTTATAGTCAGCGCGTGGTTGCTAATGCATTGAAAATTAAGTTGGTGAAACTTAATCTGTTGATTGTGTGGCAGGAAACTGTGATGGCGTTGCAGGTCAATAAGGTGCCAGGCAGGGTTACACGCATGATACATGACGTCACTCAATACATCAAAGAGACGCCTGTCCAACATTCGGTTTATTCAGTCAAATTTACCGCTGAAGGGAAATGGTTGGTAGTGGGGGATGGTCACGGATACATCTATGTCTATGATTCCACCGACAGTAAGCTGCCTGAGGTCGAGAAATTCAGTGCTTATGATAAGAAATCTGTGAACTCTCTGGCTGCTCACCCAACAAAGCCATACCTTCTTCTTTCGTCGTCTTCTTTTAGTAGAAATATCAAGCTTTGGGACTCGAGTGAGAACTGGAAATTTCAAAATTTCAAAGTGAAACCTGAGGATACATATTACGTTGGTGTGCACAGTGTCAAGTTTAATCCAAGGGACACCAACACTTTTGCTTGTGTTACCGATGAGGACAGAGTAAAGGTTTGTTATAGCCTCTTCCTTTCCTTAGTCTTTGTACGGTGTGCATGTTGTAGTTAGTGAATAATCAACTAATTCAGTTATTTCAGTACTTATTTGTATATTTAATGTTAAAAGATGTCTTCTCTGCATGAGATTTATAGGTCTGGAACATCAAACCTTCCAATCTTGAAACCACACTCAAGGGGCCATTCGTCATGGCCGATTATTTCTCCACTCGCGGCCATGAGCACTTGATGGTTACTTTGAGATCGGAGTCACGCAACTCTGAGGTGAAGAATATTAAGCATTAATGAATGTTTTCATAACAGGATTGAAATAGTTTTTTGCATATATAAGCCTCATAATTTGTGTGAAAATCAGATATGGAATTTGAAGACACAAGAAGTTGTTCACACTCTTAGCGTGAGTGGGCACCAAACGACCTGGGTTGCTTGCCACCCAAAGCTTCCAATACTGGTTACAGTGTTAGATGGCGGGACTGTATGTTTTTGGGATGCCAGTACCTACAGGTAACTATAATGCTTCTGCTCAATATACTAGCTCTGTCCATCTCTTTTTTAAGATATGCATGTATTCCATGATTCAAACATACTATTTTTGACCAAAAATCTGTTTAAAATATTGAAGACTGCATTCATGTTATTACAATGGGGTCATCTCATATCTTGGCACAACTAGCTGTTCCGCTGGGTTGGTACCTGTAGTTGGTCCACAAGCAGTGTTTTTTAATTTAAAAAATAGCATTGTCCGCATTACTTGATTTCTGGTTTGCTCTTGGGGTTGCATGTAAAGTTTGGCATTGCATCATTTAATCCAGTGACACGGAAGGTTTTTTATTTGTTCCTGAAAGCAACACATATAACTAATGCTGGTATCATAATTATATAGGCTTGAGAAAATGGTTCGCATTACCAACAGCAAGTGTCGTGATTTGGTATTTGTCCCAGAGACAAATGGCCCACCCAGGTACTTCTCAAGTTCTTTTTTTTGTTTTAGCATTTTCATTTATCCACTAAAATACATGTTGGGTGTGGCTTCTCTATAATAACTAAAGGATATCCCGCAAATTGCTCCGGGATTTGTAGAAAGTACAGATTGACCAAAGAATGAGAAAAAAAGAAGCAATTGATGGGAGCACTATTATTTTCAGAAATTTTGTAAAGCAAGTTCTTTAATGAAACGTTGAATGTAAATGGTGGATGCTTGAATGTTTCAAATGCTAATGCCACCTATAAAAATGGACAGAGTACCATACATGAAAACTTGGACAATCCGAAACATTGTGGGCGTGCAAATAAAGACAGCAAACTGACAAATGCTTGTATATTTTGTTCTGAAGTTATTACTAGTCTAGCTAAAAGAATTATGCCAATTTTGAGTCTAACGCTGAGAGGCACAAAATGGTTTCTCATAAACTATAATCCTCAACTCAACTGTTCTTGCTCCGTTTGTTTTTTCTCTGTTATTATATATTATGATTCTATCCAATTTCACAATGCTAACCTCTAATTATCTATTCTAATTACATAGGCTCGCTATCGCCTTTGAGACAATGATAGCAATCATGGAGGTTAATTTTCCAATTGCGAATACAAGCAATGCAAGTGGACTAATAATGGGAACAAACTAGGAACAACCTCCCCGGGAGGCAAGGCAACGGAGGCCATCACAGAGATTGGGGATGATGTATTTATGTATTTGGCGACTTGATATTTCCTCTTGTAAAAATACTGTTGTGGATAAGAATACTTTTGTGAGCAATGTGATATTATATTTTTCTGAATTTTATTCTATTTGTTATGAATTTTCTCATTTGAACTCAAGTTTGAATAATTCAAACCTCAATTTTGAATTCAAATATATTTGTATGGTTCATGTTTGTTTTAGAACCATCTATCTTGTGTAAGTTCTTATGAGTCAAAGACTCACTTGTGTTATTGTTTAAATTTGAAAGCCCAAATTTTGGATTTGAACAAAGATCATGTTGAAGTTTACTTGAAAACTTATGATGACCTAGCTCTAACTCATCACCAAGTTCGAATCTCAATCACTTTGTCATCTCAAAACAAAAGTTTGAAATTTCCCCACATTTTCAAATGCATGCTATGCAAATGTACAGATCCTAAATCTACCCCTTTTGTGTCCTACTTCCGGATGTTACACTTGCGTCCGGTGTGTACGTTCTTGTGGTGTGCGTGGAAATGGCATCCTCCGCTGGCCTCATTAGTGTCACAGGCGGTGTTGGAGAAGCTGGAGGTGGAGGGGTTTTTGCTCCGCTCCGTCCGTTGCGCGTGGAGGCCGACACAGAGGTAACGCCACTCCCGACGAGAGATGAACAAGTGCTGCTCATGGCCTTCGTCGAGCGGGGGCTCCCCTTCACCGTCAGCTGTTTCGTGAAGCAGTGATGCATCCCTAAACTTTATATTTATTGTGTTAGATTCCAACATATTTGCATCTTATTTATGGTTATATCCATGTTTAACATTGATTTCGCGGATTTTCCACATGATCTCCTTTATTTGGGTTATAACTTACGGAAACCTTGTTTTGTGTATTTTTTAACTTTCAGGGACCTTCGCGAACTCAAAAGGACCTAGGATTTTTTCTAGAATTGTTTTTCATCAAGACGGAGACCTTAGACCGCACAAGGGCTGAAAGAGGGTAGGTGGCGCGGCCCAGAAGCCAGGCACTCGGCCTGAGGCCCCAACTCATCGAGCACGTGCATCCATCTCGCTCCCATCCGCCACCTTGCCATGTTCACGACTCCGCCGGCGACTGCCTACAGCAACGACACCGCGTCACCTTCCTGTTAGCCGCGCCTGCACCTTCACCGATGGTCTTGTCCGCGTCCCCGAGCACCTCGCCGTGTGTCCTGGAGGATGTGATCGCGGAGCTTGTCATCATCCCCGTGAAGGAAGGCCCTCTACGGTAGGTGTGGTGAACCAGCGCATCGGGCGACTTGTCTTGGGCATCAGTTCGTCCTGGCCGTGGCCTTCGGCAGCCTGCAGCTCGCCCAACTCGACTAGCCTGTCGGCGTTGGGCATCAGGTCCCTGACGGCCTCGTGCATGCACAACTACGCCGCCAAGGTCGACATTCGCGGCGTGCTCGCCTTGTCGACGACAGGAAGCCCCACGATCCTCTTGCGGCCCCCAACTCATCGTCTCAATCTTATGGAGCTGCGAGTGCACGGAATCTAAAGCATTGTGATCAATTGCGAGAGCAAAGCAAAATTTCTCTGTTCATGAAAATGCCAAAAAAAAAGTAGTCAGCAATTTGGGGGTGCCGCTTGGGAGGACACACTCCCGGTAGCCCACAAGTTGTGTAGCTCTATACACAGTGTTGTCTGGACCGCGGAAGTCATCAATGCGGGCCTGTATCGGTCTATGGGGCGGCCTGGACGTGTTTTCTCCCGCACACCAAAGACAAACATGAGGGAGGTTTGCGGGAGTCCGTACTGATCCCAAGCCCACTTCTGACCGTCTTGGCCCATCAAAAACCCCTCCCCGCCCATCCCGTGCTTTCCTTCTGATGCGCGCGCCCCATTCATGCCGTCCCAGACATTGGTGCCGCGACGTCAACGGAGGGACGGAGGGCGGCGCTGACCGACACGACCACTCAGCAGCCGCCGCTTCAATGAGGACGCGGGTTCCCGAGGAACCAACTCCGGCCGATGCGCCGCCTTGAAGCGGACTGCTCCCCCGCCTAGGCCTCGCCGCGGCTATTTAAACCGTGCGCCAGCGATGCACAGAGCCGCACCCCCCTCATTGAGCACCGGCCCCCTCTCCTCCTCCGTCTCTATGCCCGAGCCCCTCCCTCCCCTCTTCGTCCCAAGCTCCGGCGATGCCGAAATGGTGCTCCATGCCAGTAGGCAGAGTAGGCGGAAGCTCCTCCGACGGTTCTTGGCGCCGCTGCAGTCGCTCTCCGGGTCCATTAGTGTCCACGGTGGCCGACTCCTCTGCCATGGACGAGATCCTCCGGTGACGAGGAGGACCAGGCACTGCCACATCAGCCGTAGGAGCCAGCACAACCCCGGCTCCTCGAGGAGGCCACCCTGACGGACGGAGATTTTGTCCGCCAGATTGAGATAATGACAGAGCGATCGCCCCGTTACATGGGGTCGTCCCCCCCATCATCGGCGCACGTGAAGGAGGAGCCACCTTCCCCGCCGCGCCACCGTGTCAAGCCTGAGCCAGCATCCACCTTCCGATGAAGGAGGAGCCGACCTCGCCCCGGCACAACCGCGATGTCCAGATAGGACGTCGCGTGAGGGAGGAGCCAACCTAGCCCCCGCACCGCCGCAGCATCCAGATCGGATGTCGCGTGAAGGAGGAGCCTGCGTCCCTGCCATGCAACCTGTACGGCCGCATGGATGCGCCCTTCTCCCCGTCGCACCACCACCACCTCACCGACAAGGAGGAGCTGCCGCCCGTGATCAAGAAGGTGCGGGCCTGCCTCCTCCACTACCTCGGTGGCTCCTCGGGCTCGAGGGCTGTCGTGTCTGAGGCGGAGCACGCGGCTCGACGGCAGGAGCGGTATGACCGGGGCAATCCCAATCGCCGCTCCGCTTTCGCCTTTGGACACGCAAAACTTCGAAGCATGAAACTGATGGCAACATCTCAGCATTGCACATGGCATTAAGTGACCTTGCTTGTAGTGTTGACATGCTAGCCAAAGGTTGGACTATATGTTGAATAGCTAGCCTACCAGCATTGCAATGTGAAGTTTCGTATTGCTCATTACTATCCAACACAGTAACAAACTTTTCTTCCTTTGACAATAAACAAATCATAAGCATTATGTCGTGGACACGATACTCGGTTATGATGCCGTTATATTTATCTTGCTCTACAGGCATTATCATGCTTCTGTTCACCAGCTCGTTGAAGTACCTCTCACCAATATCAAATAGTGTTAACCCTGGTTCCTCATGGATAAAACCTTCGGCGACCCATTCCATATCAAACTATCTTTATCAATCAGATGATCTTCAGGGTATATGCTCATATACAATAAGCAAGTCTTTAGTTCACAAGGAAGATCATAATAACTAAATGAAAGTATTTTTTTTGTGTTGTTCACGTCTTCATTCTCTTCATGCCCAAAACCGATTGAGGTGTATACATTAGACTACAGCTCAACCGGTTTATCGGCGAGCAAACTAGCTATTGTGATTATAGCCAATGGTACACCACCACATTTATATAAAATTTTATTGTATACCTCTGACGGTAGATGATTAGGCTGATTTATTTTACCTCCAAATAATCTTCTATGAAATAAATCCTCTGATAAATCACGAGAAAGTGGTTGTAGCCTGTATACTTTACCGGTTCTTGTGGCAACTTCAAGTATACGAGTAGTTGTGATGATCTTGCTTCCACAATTATTACACACCAAAGCAGTCTTGACTAGTTCCCAAGTTTGTGTATCCCATATGTCATCAATAACGATTAGGTACCTGTGATCACCATCCATAAGCAAGAGATATCATAAATCAGGAAAACTGTTTTACAAGGCATCTAACTATGTAAACCATGTTTAAAACAGGATGCATGAATGTCAACCACCACCTCGTTAAGGAATATAAAGTTGGCATTATTGAATAAAGAAATGGAGGGGTGCAGGAGAGAGACATATGCATGCACCAGCAGAGGCGTTATGTTTCCTTCTCAGGTGAGACGCTATGTTTTCCCCCATTTACTACTTGATGTATATGAAACTACATAATAGCAGCATACCTCTTTTTCTCATAGTTCATAAATCAGCTGCCTTTCATCCAACTCCCCATTTACTACTTGAACTACATGAAATTGAATAATAGGGTGTGTACCTTTTGTTCTCAAGTAATACTCGGATTTCATCAATTAGCTGTCTTCCATCCAACTCCGGGTACATTTTCTTGTGAATTCCAAAGAGAATGTCGTTGAGAAGTTTCTTCATGCTAGGGTTCCGTCCAACTGGAAAAAAAGCACTGCAATCAAACTGCGCTTCGAGCTTATCATACACTGCTTTGTCAAGAGTTGTCTTGCCAAGTCCTCCGAATCCAAAAACAGAGAGTATCTTTAGTTTCTTGGACACATCGCCATCCCTGTCACTCAGCATCTTGGTTAGTTCATTGAATGAATCATCAATGCCAACGAGCTCTTTCTGATCCTTGTACAGAGCCGACAAGCGAGGGTCAACCGTGTATGTGCCAGCTGGATTAGCGACCACCTCATTGACTCTGTACCTGTCATGGCGGTCAGCCACCTCTTGGACACGTACCTTTATACCATTGATCTCGTCAGCGATCTCATGGCGAGTTTTTCCTTGGGTGAGCAAGTCACCCATCTTCTTCATGAGCTGCTTGAGCTTGTGGGGTCTGACATCGGGCTCAAGGCCCTCAACACACACCAGAAACTTGTTGATGATGCCCTCCATTATGTACGAGAGGTCCCTGACCTCATCAGCCCAGAGTTTGACTTGCACGTACATCAAGCTCGTCCCGTGGCACATCTCCGACCTTGCGGAGGGTAGCATGCAGGCTCCTCAGCTCTCTCTCAAGATACTGGATGTTTACCTTGGTGCCCATGTGCAGCTTGTACTCCTCTTTGAGGAGTTCACCGAGCTTGAGGAGCAGGCTGCCCATGGCCCCTGTTGCGAGGTCAATGCCTCTCCCTTGCCAGCCTGTAGCTCGGTTGAGATAAAATGCGTGCGTGTTTTTCCTTTC